GGAAGGTCAGTGTCGTCTCGGGAGTTCACTGCCCCTGAGAGCCCCAGGCTGATGGACGAAAGCTGCAGGCAGGGTCGCGTCCTGCTTGGGAGCCCGTCCGGGGCAGAACCTGCCTTGTCTTAGCCCTGGCGCCCAGGTCATTGGACCCCAGCCTGGAGCTGTATCCGGGTGCTCCCTCCTGACCGGGGTCCAGAGGTGTCCCGCTGTCAGTCTGTCCTTCCTCCTGGGCCAAGGGCCTTTGTCCTGGGGGCAGGGCTGCATTGCTAGGGCGTTCTCTGGCACGTCTGCTTCCTCTGCTGCCCTCAGAGCAGGATTTGGGCAGTGCAGGGACGAATGGCTCCCTTTAGGCTGCTGGAGGGCGGGGAAGGGGAGGTGGCCAGGGCCACCAGGCTGGAGGAGGCTGGCGCCAGCCCGGGGCCACAAGGCCAGAGGAGGCTGGCAGGCCTGGCTCAAGGAAGCTGCTCGGTGGGAGGCCGCCTTGGGAGCCGACCTTGTTCCCGTGGCTTCCGTCCCACAGCTCTGAGGCCGTCCCGGGCCGTTCCTGGGCCCTGCAGCCCATCAGCATCTGCCCAGCCCTCCCGCCTGGCCCTGCTGCAGCTTCCGCCCACCCAGGCCACCGGGGGGGGGCGGGGCGGGGTGCTGCCTCGGCCTTTGTGCAGCTGCCTGCTCCCTCCTCTGGCTCTGCCCTCACCCGCGGAGGAGTTGGGCCGGGCGCTGGCTGTGGGTGGGTGAGCAGGAGCAGCGTGGAGGAAGCGGCCGGCACCGCTGGGGCACAGGGCACCTGGGGGGAGCTGGCTGTGTGCCTGTGGCCCCTCGCCGTCTGCCGGTGGCGGGGGGGCGCTGCTGGGTTCCAGGCCCCCAGGGGCTCGGGCGCAGAGCAGTGGGCAGAGGGCAGGTGCTGGGGTTCTGTGTTTCTGGCCCTCGGGCTGGGCACCTCTTTGTGTCTCTGGTACCGGGGCAGCCTCCACTTCCCGGTCTGCTGAGCAAACACCGGCGACACGTGCTCTGGGCACAGCAAAATGAGACTACAAGTCAGACAAGGTGGCAGGCTGCGGGTCTTTTCTCTCTCCTGCCTCGGTAGACTTGTCCGCAGCTGAGGGCAGGCCCCTCGTTGCCCCACGGCCCCTCTGCCCCTTTCTGCTGCCCTGCCTGCGCTGGTGCGTGGAGACCTCTTGGGCTGGGAGAGTCCCTAGCATGGCCCACCCAGCCTCTGTCACTTCCTCTAGTCGACCCTGGCACTCTGTGTGCTCCCATCCTCCCAGAGCCACCCCTGCGTCTCTCCCTTCAAGTCCAGTTGGCTTGGATCCTGCTGGGCTGCTTCCTCTGGGGGGCTGCCAGGCCCGCCCAGTCTGGGGCTCTAGCCATGCCCCCCAGGTCCCTGCGCCCTCCTGTTGGAGCCCTTGTCACAGGACATTCTGGTTGGCTCCCAACCAACGTTCATGTCCCTGAGGCCGGGACCAGGCCCACCCTGTTCACGTTGGACGCAGTGCCCAGTGCACTGTGGGCCCACAGGCTGTATCTGGGGAGTTGTGCCTAGGCCTCCCGGGTGCCTGCCTGGGCTCCTGGTAGCCCCCCCAGGACAACATAGGGACTCTGGGGCCACCCTCCAGACCCCTGAGGAGAGTGCTGGGTCCCTGCCCGGGTCGTCCACTCAAGGCAGACACCCCCGCAGCCTGTCCACCCTACTCTGTTTCCAGACTCCTCTTTCTAGATGATGATCTGATTGGAATCTTACAAATGAAGCTTTGTATCTTAAGATGATACATGTCTAAAATTTGGAGAATAAATGAGCCCTACAAGGTTGTTTGAGACAGAAGAGTTGTCCCTTCTTCCTCTCCCCAGAGTTAGCTACTTCTGACCCTGCAGATCTCTGGATAGCGGGTCTCTGCTCTCAGTAATGTGCTCAGTCATGCTGCTGCGTGGTTTTCAACAGTTAGGCATCATTTATCGACTTGCCAGATGATTGACGTGTGCTTTCATGCCTGTGCTTTGCACACACACACACCCGCTTGAGCACACATGCATGAACATTCATGCAAACACATGCTTGTGCACACATGAATACACACACATGCTTGAACACGTGCATGCTTGAGCACATGTACATGCTGGAGCATACATGCATGCTGGAACACATGCATGTACACATTCTAGCACACATGAACACCCATGCACATAACGGATTTCAGCGTACATGCACGCACATGCTGGAGCACACACGTGCACACGCATGCACACACGTGGTCCCTCCCTTCCCCAGTGCTGCTCCGGGCTGCATCCTACCGTGGGCAGGTAGATGAGGCCTTTCCTAAGTGCAGTTGCTGCTGGGGGCTGAACCCCACGGTGAACCGGGATCATCCTCATTTCCTGCTCACCGTGTTTTCCTGGAGCCTGGTTGTGTCCAGATGCCACAGTCTTCCCTCTCTCCCTGAGGAAGTCTCTCTGGAACCTTCTGCCGCCCGGTTAGCTGGTTACCCTCCCGGCCCCAGCATAGCATCCGCCCCAGGCCTCCCTCCCCTCCCCTTCCCAGGATCCTTCACCTTCTGCTGCAGGTGGTCATGCCTGCCTGTGTTCCTGGATTATCCCTGCTGGATGGGAAGGACAGGGAAGGGCCTGATCCCTGTCTGGAAGCGCCTTCTATGCTGCTTGGGGCCACCGTGGTTTCGGGTTCTGTCTTTGCGGCCCATGTGCCCCGCAGGGCAGGCCCCTCTGGCCATGCTGCACGGCGCTCTGCTCAGTGGCCTTGAGTTCTGGGTCGCTCATCCCCTTTCCTGGGTGTCCTCTGTCTCCACGATTGCTGTCCCTCGGATGTGGGGGCACGGTTGGTCCTGGCTTCCGCACCTGTTCGTCTTTCCTTCTGCTTCCTCGATGGCATCCCCCATGCCGCCCGAGCACCCTTCCACTGAGCTCTGCACTTCCATGCCTGCCGTGCCCTCTCTCAGCACCTTGGTGTTCTCTGGGCGCCGACAGTGGCCTGTTGGGTGTTGGGCACAGTGTCTCCTGTCTCTGAGGATGGTGGTGAGGGGCTGGGTGACCTGGATTCACTCTTGGAGAGGCTGTGCAGTGAGATCACGGGCACTGTCCTGCCAGATCCCAAGCCCTTCTCTGCTGGCCGCCAGCCGCATGGCCTTGGGTGCCTTACTCCTCGTGCCTCTGTCCTCGTCTGCCATGTGAGGCAACAGTGGGGTCTCCTTCCAGGTCTTTGTGAGGACGGCATGCGAGCCTGTGTAAGGTGTGCAGGGAAGTCTGGGCGCGTGCCGGGGCTCTGGGCGCCCGCTGTGTACTTACCACTGTACGCTGTTCCTCCGGGTGCTGCTTCCTCCACGTTGTGTCCCCACGAGGCCTGGGCTCCGTCTTCCACATCCGACGTGTTCCCAGGTGTGGCCTGGGCCGTCAGGTGCTGGCGAGCATGCAGGTGCCCCGCTTCCTGTGCAGAGACCTGCCCTCCTCCAGGCTGGCGGCACCCCTGCCTCCTTGCTCCCTGCCGGCTGTTTCTGCTCCTCCCCGGGCTGCCCCTCTGCCCCGGGAGCGTCCAGAAAGCGAAGGGAGGTCCAGCGGCGGCCTGGGCAGGTGGCCGGGATTCCGTGGGAAGGAAAACCATGTGCTTTCCCCAGGGACCCCCAGAGTCTGCAGACCCTGAGTCCCTGCCCGGACAGCTCCCCTGTGTGGGGCCAGAGTCTGTCGTTCGCTTGGACCAGTGTCGCATCGCAGCGGACTCCGGATGCAGGTGTGGGAACCAGCGTGTCCGTTGAGCCGCCGAGAGTCAGACGCTCGGCTCTTCTTGCTGAACTGTTTTGTTTGGGAAAATGCAGTTCTGTTTCATAAAGATTTTTAATAGGTAACGGCTTTCCTGTTACTTTGAAAGAAATTAATGAATATATCTTAAAAACTTCGTTTTAATTTCTCATGCAGTAAATACTGGCAGATATAATCCACATAAGCCAAGGCTCATGGGGCTCTGGGGAACTCCTAGCCGCGGAGGGGCTGGGCCGGCCCAGGTGGCGCCGGAGTGGGGCGAGGCCGGGCGGCCTCCTCTGCAGGCCCCTGCCAACCCCAGGAACGTGGGCCTACTTCTCGCCCCCGTGAGCTCATCTCCGCCACTGTCCTGCCCTCTCACTTGGGCTTCCGCACGGCCGAGTCGAGCCGTGGCTGCAGAGCGCGGGGAGTCCAGCCCGGCCTGTTGGGAGCGCTGCGTGAGCTGTGCCGGCGTCCCCAGCATGTGGCCAATCAGGTAGACGCTGGATGAGTCTCTGCCTGCTCTCAGTGGCTCCTGTGCAGACACCCGAAAACCAGTGACCCTGGAGGGCCCCAGGGGGCACTTGTCAGGCTGGTGGAGTCTCCACTGCCATCCTGGAGCCACGGTTCCCCTGCGGAGCGGACTGGGTGGGTGGGATGCCGAGCCACCCCCGGCCGGGGCCGTGCTCTGTGCTGAGCCAGGTGGTGGTGTTCTGAGTGCCGCCGTCAGTGTGTGTCACCTGCTCTGCACGGCCTGCCTGGGGCCAGGTCCTCTCATTACCCTGGCTTTGCAGATGAGGCCGGGGAAGGTCAGTATCTCATCCAACCTCCACTGGGACCAAGTGTCGAGGTGATTTCAGCCCCGGCAGCCTGCCCCCAGCCCCTCCTACCATCTTGTGTGGCTCAGAGGGCCTGAGCTGGAGCTAGAGAGGGGCAGGTGGCTCAAGCCCCTGGGGTTGCAGCTTGGCAGGGGTGGGCTCATGCAAGGGAGAGCACAGGGCACTGGGGCTCTGGTTGGGGCCACCACAGTCTTTGAGGGGTTATTCCCAGTGCCTGTCCCAGAGGGCACCTTGAAGGGGCTCAGTGGGGCCAGTGCCCTGGGGCCGGGAGGAACCCGGCTGAGCTGAGGTGTGGGCATGGGGCCGCCTGGGGTGAGGATGAAGTGGAGCCAGGCTGGCGGGCGGGGTGGGCAGAGGCCTGAGTGCACCCTGAATCTGAGCACTAACTCCTCTCCTCCCTCCCGACCTGGTTTTTGTCTCCTCCAGCTCTGTGGGAAGGCAGTGGCCCTGGTGTCTGTAAGAAGATGTCCTACGGATCCATTGCTGGCAGTGGTGGCCCGGGGAGCCATGGCCCTTTTGGGGGACCCTCCAGACAAGGCTATCAGCCCCTAGGTAATGACAGTGGCTCGCAGCGCTGGTGGGGTGGCGTGGCATGGCAGTAGGTGGGTCTCTGCTGTCATGATGGTAGCAGGGGTAGGCGGGTTCTGTGTGACCAGTGTTGCCTGTGGCCAAGGGTGAGTGACCCTGGCCTTGGCTGGAGGGGGCCGACCTGGTGTCTGTGGTCATTCTCGCGTCACGCTGGCCCTCAGCAGGTGCACTGAGCTGGTCTGGAGGTGCCCGGGGGCTTGGCCAGTGGCAGGGCGGATGGATGGTCTGGCCTGGTCTTCCTGATGACAATGTGGGATAGGCGTTATTTTTGCAAATACAGAGGAGGAAACTGAGGCAGGGTGGGGTTGGGTACGCTACGCAACTGGTACAGGGCAGAGCAGGGATCCCCTTCCAGCACTTCTCAGTCACCTCCCTTTCCCAGGACGCCCTCGCCCTGAGGGCTGTGTTCCGGGCTTCCCCCGCCGTTCGGCCCGGTCTTGCTGACGGGGCTGTGTCCCTGCACGGGGGCTTGCTGGCTGTGCATGTCTCAGAACTTTGTTTATGGAACTGTAGCTTTTGTCTTACCTGCCGTTTGCTGGTTTGGCTCTTGAGTCCCTGATGCTGCAAGTCTCTATTCCCGTCTGTTTTCCTGCTCCGTGGCTGTGTGTGGCGCCCGTGCTGGTCCATGTGTGACGGCCAGGGAGCGTATCTGTCCCCCTGCAGCACGGGGGGCTGTTGGCACTGTCTGGGCTGCCCTTGGTGCCCTGGCCTCGTCAGCTGAGTGGGGGCCGGTGGCGGATGGTGAGCGGTTGCAGTCTGAGGGCAGGCCTGGTCTCTGGGTTTTCATTTACATTTCTCTGGCGACCGATGGGATGGACTCGTTTCTCCTCCCACGGACTCTCTTTTTTTCTAGGCTTTGCCATCTTCTTACTGACTTGCAGGATTTCCGTATGTATTCTGAAAGTGAAAACCTTGTCTGCTTGCCCTGTGCATCTTTGTCCGGTCGGGGCCTGCTTTTTGGCGTGGCGCCTGCCTGCTGGGGAGCGCGCGTTCCTAGTGGGCCGAGTTCTCCGTCCTGGCCCACTTGAGCGCGCCAGTCCCTCCTGCCTGGTTTGCGTTTCTGACTAGTGTGATGAATCCTATCACGAGATGGTCCTGGCGCCACGTTTACTCTTCTCTGAAGCTGGTATGACTGTTGTCTGTCTGTAAGTCTTCCGTCACCATCACCGGGGTTTGATACTTGTTTATGGGGCGGGGCGCGGGGAGGGCTGAGAGCTGCCCCGGATTTCTCTCTCTCAACCACACGTCCTGGGACTGTTCATTGAAAACACCGTCCCCTTCCTACAGACCCACAGAGCCAGAGCGCTGCGATGTGATGTTTCCGTGTAGGTTCTCTTGGTCAGTTTTTGCCTTCCTGTGCAAAATTCCGCCTTAATTTTCAGTTACAATTTTTGATGTTTTTCACGGGAAGTTGCTCTGCTTGCTTTCCCTCGGAAATATCTTGGGTGTTTTTGGCCCTTTGTTCAGAACGCACATTTTAGAATCCCCTTGTCAGGCTTGGAGTTTTGGCTGCAGGTGCCATGCGTCCGCTGCATGAATGTGGTGAGAACTGGCATCTTTACCGTTGGTGGGCTCCCAGTCCGTGAGCATATGTGTTTTTCTGTTTCTCGGATCTTCTTTCATGTTTTTCAATAAAGTTTTATAACTTTCATTACCAAGATCTTACATATCTTTTATTAAGGTTGTTTTAACAAAAAAACCCCACTTTTTTTGCTACTGGAAGAGGTATCACTCTGAGTATTACACTTCCCAAATCTTTGTGGCTGGTACACATACACAATTGGTTTTTTTAAAAGAAACAGAGTCCAGAGATTTAATTTTTAAATGCTTTATTTTTAAACTTCCTAAATATGAACAATTTTAAACATAGAAAAGTAGACACAGTGACATACTGAGCCCAGTGCTGCCCAGTCCACCTCATTAGGAGTCTGCTGTGGCCGGCCCAGCCCTTTGTGACCTCGGGCTGCTGTTGTGTCATTTGGCGGCGAGTCCCAGACACAGCATGCCTCCCGCGTGGACACGTCCCTGTACGTCTGCAAGGAGCGACTGTGCGTAACCGGAGAGCCGCTAGAGTGCCCGGTCAGGTGCGCCCTGGCACTTCTGATGGCGTGGTGGTTCCATGTGCGTGTAGCAGTTGACTGACAGGCCTTTCAAGTCTCTCTGAAGCTTGAGATTCTCCTCCGTTGTTCGGTTGGTTTGTTTTTCCTCTCGAAGTTTATTTCTGGAAGGAACCATGTTTTTCCTGGGGAATGTGATCGATTTTTGTTCACTGACTGTATTTTGCTAAACTCCTTCTATTGACTGTAATGATTTGTGGAATCTTACTTTTTTTGTTTGGATGGTATCATTTGTAAATAGCGACATTTTTTTCTTTTTTTCCCTAATGCCTCCATTCTTCTTCCCACCTTCCTGAGCTGGTCGGAGCCTCTCTGATGCTGGTTGACATGGTGCTTATATTCCACGTGAATTTCTGGAAGAATAGGACTACAGGTTCCTTAAGTGTGTCTGGGATTTTGCTATAAAACCGTCCGGACCTCATGTTTCCTTCCTGGAGCGCTTTTTGACTAGCAGTTCACTTCTCCAGTTGTAAAAACCATCCAGGTTCTCTAATTCTTGGGTCAGTTTTGCTCAATTGTGTTTTCTGAGACATATGTCTCTTTCACTTAAATGTTCGAATTTGTTGAAATGAAATGTAGACAGTAGCCGCTGGTTGTCGATGGGGCAGCACTGGGGTGTGGCGGAGGGCCTGGTGGGGTCTGCCTGCCCTGCTCTGCCCTTGCCCAGCCATGGGCCGTTGCGAAGGCTGAGGGCCGCGTGGGGTCTACCATTGTGGTGGCCGCTGTTTTATTAACGGTCACCGTATTTGCATCACATCCTCTTTTTTATTTCTAATAGGACTTATTTGTACTTTCCCTATTTTGTTTTTTTATAATCAGTGTTGACTGAGGCTTGGCAATTTTGTGAGTCTCCCCAAAGAACTGCCTTCTGACTTTCTTGATACCTTCTAGTATAAGATTGGTCTCCACTCATACTTTTTCTTTCTCTCTTGGAGTTGACGTTTTATTTTTCTACCTCCTAAGTTGGATGTTTACGTCATTCCTTTTCAGTTTTTATTCTTTTGTCGTAAAAACATTTGAGATTATAAGTGTCCAGATGGTCACTGCATTAGTTGAGTTACAGACATTCAGAATAGAGAGGTGTTTTTAAATTAAAATTCGGTTGTTTTTTTATTTCCATTATGATTTCTTATTTGACTCAGGAATTATTTATTTTTAATTTTTAATTTTTTTATGATTTTTTTCCTCTCAGGATTTATTTAGAACCATAGTTCATGGTTTCCAAATGTATGTATTTTTTTTCTAGTTCTCTTAAAAATGATATCTAGTTAATTACATTTTTTTTTTATCAGGAAAGGACCTATGTTGTCCTGATTTGCTGACTGTTGTTGAGGCCTGGTGCTGCTGGTTCCTCACTCTTTCCTCTGCGGGGTGACATGGGAAGGCTCCCGGGGAGGGGCTGGCCCTCTGGGCAGGACTTTGGAGCCAGGCGGGGACCCCCATCTGTGCAGGAGAGGCCACCACCACCTGGGACCTGCTGTGCCCCAAGCACTGTGGGGTACATGCGCCCTGTAGGTAATTATGCGGAGCTTAGGGTGATCTCTTCGTGGTAGAATTGCAGCAAAAACACAGCAAAAAGCCAACTGGCAGGTTATTAACACATAAAGAACTCACATAAATCAAAGGAAAACCTAAAAATCTTCCTGCAAAGGGGCCAGCCCTGTGAAGAGGTAGGAAACAAGGCTGAGTCTCACCGTTGCCCAGAGATACAGACTTGAAGGGGACAGAGTGCCCGCACTGCTGGGCCACGGTGGAGCTGGCTCGCTCCGGAGGCAGGGGCGCGGCTGCTCCCGGACCCCGCAGCCTTCCCGCTCCCGGCCTGGCGCTGCCTCTTCCTGGACTGCTGGGACGGCATCGGGGTGCGGGCAGGGGTGCTGGCTGCGGCATGGTTGCGGACAGAGATTGCGGGAGCGCCGTCACCACCTCGCTGAGGGAGGCGGCTGTGATGTGGGCATTAGCTTGAGTTGTCGAAGGTCGCTGGATGACCTCCGCACATGTCCGGACGTGGTGACAGGTGTGTGAATGAAGTAAAGCAAAGTCGTGTCCAGAGTCTTCCAATTGTGCCAGACCCCCACCCCCGTGGTCACGGCGTTCACCTCCAGGTGCTGTAGTTGCAAACAATCCTTATCATTTCTTTGTATTTGTCTGCGTTTGAACTTTTCCCCGAAATTGTGTGTATTTTAATAATCAGAAAATTGTCTCAGGTCCCCCTCAAAGTTCAAGGGTCGTGTGATTCTGGAGGGTGGACCATACCGGCCCCTCCACAGGCGTCTGGACCACGTGGAGTCACCAGGAGGAGGTGGGCAGGGCCTGGACTTCCGTGACCAGGTGCCAGCATGGGGAGGGCATCAGGTGGTGATGTGGGCAGTGACGAGGCCTGCCAGCTGGGCCCCTGGCCTCCCTGCTCCCCATAGGAGGGGCTCTGAGGGCTCTGAAGCAGATGGTGACCCCAGTTGCCAGGCACCTGGACAGCTGTGCCTCTTCCTTACACTGGTCTGGGCAAGTGGCTGCAGGGGAGCCTGGCGCAGCTGTCTGTGGGAGGACGTGTCCCCCAGGCTCCCCACCCAGTCCTTCGGGAAGAGGGAAAAGGACAGGATTTGCCTTGTGGGGAGATTGTCCCTGTCCTGGAGGCTCATGGTCAGACCCTCAGACCCACAGAGATGTCCGGACGTGGGGCCTCGGCCCTGGCCTCTCTCTCACGTGCTCTGACTGTCCAGGGCCGTGTCTGCCTCCCTGGACGCCTAGGAGTGTTCTCGTAGTCTGATTTGGAAACCCACTTTGCTGCAGTTGTCTGCGGCGTGGGAACCTCCATCCCCGAATAAGCCAGCTGGCCACCCTGCCCTTCCTTCTCCGTCCTTCCTGGACGGGGGAGGCTCTGGGAGTGAGGGCGGTAGAGCCTCCCACTGAGTCTGGCCGGGAGCCCCGTGGGCCGCCCGTGTGCTTCGGGTCCTTGCTGCCTGGAGGCGGAGGATGGCCGAGCGGTCCAAGGGGGATCGCTCGGGCCAGTCCTTCTGTCCGGTCATGCTGGGCTGTAGTGTCCCCCCACAGAGGGACGAGAGTGTGAGCTGGACAGGTGTCCTGGGCTCTCCCTTCTCTGGGCAGATGCGAGTCCAAGGCCTTTTCTGAGAAGGAGCCGCCCCTTCAGGAGCTCGGTGCCGGGACTGGCCCTGGACAGGCCGTGTCCCCTGGGTTTCAGGGTGGCTACAGGCATGCTCAGGCGAGTCAGCCGTCACCTCCTAGAGCTCGCTCTGTGAAAACTGCCCTTCCGGAGAGCTCCAGAGTGAACAAGGTCACACAGATGGCCCAGGGCCATGGACTGAAAGGCACATCTTTCAGAGATGGCAAGGCGTTTTTACGAGGCATGTCTTAGGGTTGACAAATTCTGGCAAAACGTGTCTAGGACGTGTTTTTGAATAAATGAGAGTGATGAGGAGAAAATGAAGTGTCCTTCCCGGGGGTCCAACCCCGTGCGGGGCCGGTTTGGGGCTGGGTATGGGGAGGAGGCCACACGGGTGCCCAGCACCACTGCTCCTCAGCCCTGCAGCCAAGTGTCAGGAAGGGTGGGTTTTACTTATATTTTCACTCCCAACATGCCACAGAACGACATTTTTATAAACAGAATGATGCCATGCTGGGGTGCTGGGGTGATTTCGAATTGTCATCAACCTCCCTAAGTCCTTACTCTCCATTTTTGTTCATCGTTTGTTGCAGACGTCTAACACCCATCGAAGGCCTGGCCTGGTCTGTGGGGCCACACCTGAAGCCCTGCTCTAGGGGATTTCGTCTTTGTCTGGGGTCACCTTTTAGAATAATCGTGGCTTAAAGAAAGATCTGGAACATTTAAAGTTCTGAACTTGGTGCTGGTCTTCAGCCCAAGCGGCTATTGCACAGGATGTGGCAGTCTGGGAGGGCTTCTTGGACGAGGTGGGCCCGAGTGGAGCTTCTTGGTATGGATGCTTGGAGGGCTGAGGGCACCTGCTATCCCGTGTGGGGCCTTGCTCTGCCATCAGCACCCTGCGCTGCTCTGTGGGCAGGCTGGGTGTAACTGTGATGTTCCTTGCTGTCTGTAGAATGCGCTAAATGTTGGACCGAGTACGGAATCCGCCATTTCCCCTGCCCGTCGCCAGAGAGCAGCCCGCAGGACCCCTGTGTGGGCCAGGACGGGGAAGGTGATCTGGGGTCGGCGGGCACGCCCAGAGGCCCAAGGCCCAGAAAGCGAGGTACTACCGCTTGGGTGCTGGGTCTGGGGGGACCTGGGAAAGGCCACCCAGAGATGCCAAGCGCTGAGGAGGGAGGGCCGGCAGGCGGGAGCCCAGGCGTGCTGAGCTGGGGGCAAGCTGCAGCACGGATTCTGGCCTGCACCCTCACCCCACTACCTTCCCCTTCCCCGAGGACGGCAGATGGCAGGGCTGGGCCAGTGGCAGGAGGCTGTTGTGTGATGACCAGTGCTCGTCAGGGCCCCGTGGGCTCCAGGGTGGAGGCTCAGCCTGTGGGACGAGTTCCCATGGCCCCTTCACTCCAGAGCCTGGCTTCTCTTTGTAGGGGGAGCGGGTCCCTGGTGTGTGCGTTAGTGCGGCGGGGGGGATGTGGGCCTCTGTAGAGGCAGCCTTCCAGTTGACAGGGACCTGGGGGGACACAGGCGGGGCTGCTGGCCTCTGAGTGCTCCCCAGGCTCACACATCCTTCTGCCCTCAGGGGCTCTCGGTGTCGGGGGCTCGCTCTCTCCTCACATCTGGGAACCCGTGGTCTCATGAGGGAGCTGCCTCTTCTGCCCTTACTGGTGGTCCCCCTGCCCCCTGGCAGGCACAGGCTGACTGCTGACAAAGCTCCCACGTGGGCAGAGGCCTGAAGACTTGGCACTGTGTGCCTGCCCAGCCCAGGGACCTCTGTGAGCGGAGGAGCGGGAGGCTGTGGGGGCACAGAGGGGCAGAGGGTGGAGGCCACGGGCCCGGCCACCTGCATGCTCTCCTGTCCTCCACGTGCGCTCGCGGCTGGGCAGGAAGGCTGAGGGTGCCCGTCAGGCAGGCTCAGGGCTAGGACTCGGACCCAGGCCTCTGGACGCCTCGCAGGGAGGGGGCAGTAGCTGGGAGCGGGCAGCGGTGTCCTGAAGCCGAAGCCAAAGATGAGGCCAGTGCCGCAGCCGCCAACCCCGCCAGCCCAGGGCCTTCAACACCCACCTTTTGGTGCCTTTCCAGGGCCAGGGGTCACTCCTGAAGGCAGTGGGACGCCCGGCTCGCCGCCCGCTGCTGGCCCGAGGAAGGACCGCACCCGTGGGGCCCGTGGCCGGCTGGCGGGGCCCAGTGCCACGCGGGCCAAGAAAAGGAAGCCCAACTTCTGCCCACAGGAGACGGAGGTCCTGGTGTCCAAGGTCAGCAAGCACCACCAGCTGCTGTTCGGCACAGGGCTGCTGAAGGCCGAGCCGGCCCGCAGGTACTGCGTGTGGAGCCGCATCCTGCAGGCCGTGAACGCCCTGGGCTACTGCCGCCGCGACATTGTGGACCTCAAGCACAAGTGGCGGGACCTGCGTGCCGTCGTGCGGCGCAAACTGGGCGACCTGCAGCGTGTGGCCCATGGCCCCGGCGGGCCCCAGGCCCTGGCCCTCACGCCCGTGGAGCAGGCGGTGGCCAAGACCTTCTCCTGCCAGGCCCTGTCCCCCAAGGGCTTCGGCCCGGAGCCGCTCCGAGGTGAGTCCCTTGGCCCAGCTGGCCGGCGGGCAGGAAGCAGAGACCCGCCGCGGGCGGGCTGCTCCTCGTCCCGCGGCCCCAGGGGCCTCCCGCCATGCCCTCCTCCTCGTCCCCGCCGCCAGGGTTGGGGCCGTTCCTGTTCCTTCACGCACGCGCTGGTGTGGCCACGCGGGGACAGCTGTCTAAATGTCACAGCACGGCAGATGCACCTGCCTCCCCTCTGCTTTGCCTCTGCCCTCTCGCTCCCGGCTGCGGAGCGGGGAGCTGGGCACCCACAAGACGCGGCTCTCCTCTGAGGGACTTCTGCTTCCTGCCTCCGGACCATGACCTACAGGAAGAAACGTGTTTTCCTGTGTGGTCCCACAGACACGCTCACACCTGAAATACGAGGTTTTCAAGACCGTGGTTGCTCCGCGTTGTCCTCTGTGCCCTGGGACATCTCTCTCTTTTGCCCCACCCCATCCCCTGCTCCTACCCTGTCCGCTGAATGAAGCGCTCCTGCTGATTTTCTGGTGTTACTGCCGGGGCTGCAGAGCTGCATTCGGGAGCGCCGGGCTCTGTTGCTGGCTTAACATCCAGAACAGGCCTCAGTAAGGGCTGGGCTGGCCCTGCGGCATCAGGTGGACACCTTGGTGGGGGGGGCGGGTCACCCAGAGCCCAGGTGGTCCTTCCGCGGCTGTTTTCCAGGAGGGCGTTGCTCTGCGGGGCGTGACTTCTCCTCATCTGGCGCGGTGGGTCAGGGGGCTCGATGGAGGTCGGCCTAATGTCTGGGAGCTCTGCTGGGAGCGCAGTGGGGCGGGTCCCAGACGGGTGCCCGTTGCACGGACATGTGCAGCCCTGGTGGGGCACACGGTGCAGAGCTGCCTGGGAGCTGGAGGAGGATGGAGGCTGAGCCCAAATACTGGCAGTTAGGGCGGGGGAGGGAGGCGTGGGGTGGGGGTGTGCGGATCATCTGTGCGTGCCTCCTCTGTCATAGGTGGGTGCTGGAGGTAGGTGCTGAGGACCATTTCTCAGTCCTTACCTAGTCTTCAACTTGGGGCCAGAAAATACACACAGAGTGTGTCAGAAACAAAGCAGAAGCAAACACATGTGTTTTCCTAGGGACCGGCACAGGTTGGGTCTCATCTCTGGTGCCAGCCGTGCGCACGACTTGGTGACGTGGTCTCCCCAGTGATGGGCAGGGCAATGGTCTGGGCACCGCTGCCCTGGTGACCTTGTGACCTGGTGCTGGCTGGGCCCCCGAGCAGTGGGATCCCTGAGGCTGAGGGCCTGCTGCTCTGTACGGGGGGTGTACAAGCCCCTGTGGGTTGCTGTGCACAGTGGGAGAACTGGCCGTGCCGTGCCCAGCGCGTGCCTCGGAAAGCTCTTCCTCCCTTCTTTGGCCCGTGTTCTTCCCAGACCGACGGTAACGCACGCTCGCCTCCCTCCAAGCCCAGAGTGCCGCGCCACACCCCGACCTCGAGGCCGCCTCCTGCTGCACAGCTGTCTGCCTCCCGGGTCCAGCGCACAACCCTGCTGTGGCCCCGGCCCCAGACCCTGCTCTGCCTTGCGGGTGTGTCCACTCATCCCCTGCATGGGGTGCTGGTGCGTTTGGCGAAGGATGCGCCCTCACCAGCTGGGGACCTGGCCACACACATTCCTCAGCCCTGCCCTCTGGCTTTCCAGCGCTCTCACCTGGGGGTGCTCCTTTCCTTGGAGTGGGCGTGAAGGAGGGGTGTGGTGCCCTCGCAGCACTGCTTCCTGCAGGCCCAGGCTTTCACGGCTTTGTGATTGTTTCCAGACGCTTCCTGTTCCCGAGGCCCTGGAAGGTTAGCCTTCCCTGGCAGAGTGACCTGCCCCAGTTGGAGTTTTGGGGAATTGTTGAGCACTGTGGAAGGGTCCGTCATGTGGCCCAGGTGCGGGTGCTGTCGCTCCTCACTGGGGGAGCCCCGCAGCCTGCCCACACTTGGATCTGGTTGCAGAGCCTTTCTTTCCCAGAGCACTTTGCAGGGCTGTTGCTGTCGAGCACGGGGAAAAGGGAAATTCCTGCTACGGGTACCTGGATGCTCTGTGCCTTGTCTGTGCAGACATGACCAATCTATCGCAGCACGATGAGCCACTCCATGGCCTGAAGCAGCCTCAGTCTCTTCAGGCTGCCACCCTGGGGAGGGATGCCTTCATGGGGCAGGCTCTTGGCTGTCCGCCCCCCCCCCCCCCCCCCCCCCCACAGTGAGCTCATCCCGCTGGCATACGGCACTGCCCCGTCTCCCCCTGTACCCAGCCCTCCCTGGTTCCTCCTCTAGTGCCCTAGGCATGGGCCCGCGGCCGGGATCCTGCATTCAGGCCAGATGCCCCCCCAGCCCCACCCCTCCTGTTGCTCTGTGCTCTGGGCACCCCCAGTGGCCATGCTGCTCGGGAAGGAGAAGGCCCCCGATGCTGCAGGGCCTTTGTCCCCTTGCCATTACGCTCTTTCCTCTCCCTCATGCTCATGTGGTTCCGGGTCCCTTGATGCCCCTGGGCCTGCGTCCCTCCACTCGGTGTGGGGACAGAGATCCAACCCGTGTCCCATGTCACCTGGGTGAATGCACCTAGGAAGGCCCATGGAGCACATCCTGTGACACCCGAGCTTCATAACTCAAGTCTGCTCTCAGAGTGGCTGAATTCTGAGTGTTTGCTCCAGGCCACAGAGGTGGCCTGGGGGCTGACCGTGGGGACCCCTTGCAATCCTGCTCCCGCCACACTCCAGGATTTTGGATTTGTCTGTTTCTCCTGGCAGGTGCAGCAAGCGTGGCTGTCTGTATTTTGGAGCTCTGATTTGTGTGCGAGCCTCAGAAGGCGGGGCCCTCAGGGGATTGGTCCCCATAGCTGGAAGGGAGCAGGGCCCTGTGGGGTGGGAGGCAGGCTGTGAGGGGGGCGGGGAGGGGTGGGCCGGGGGCTTTGTCCTGTCTTTCGCCGCTGGCCCCGTTGGGCATGCTTGGACCTGCCCTTGCTGGGGGTCGCTCAGGGTGGGGCGTGCATACGCCCATGTCCTGTCTGTGGATGTGGCCAGTGTTGTCCAGGGAAGGGGCTGCTGCTGTCATCTCTGGCCTCCTTGGGGTCCTGGGTCTGTGCAGGCGCTGTGCCCGTGGACCCCCAGCAGCCTGTGAGGAGATGGTGCTGTCACCCCCTCCCCCCCAGCAGTGCGAGTGCACCAGGGCACTGGGTTTTGCCCAGGCCTGTCTGCTCTGCGGCCGAGAGGTCCCCTGACTTCCCTTGCTCGTCTTGCGTCCGCGGCGCCGTATCGCCACTTGGCCTCCTCCTGCCCGGTGCGAGTCGACACCCCAGTCCTTCCGCCGGCCGTCTGTGGCAACTGGGAGCCGCGTGGTGGAGCAGAGCCCGGCAGAGCCTGGTAGAGCCCACTGTCCGCCTGGCCCATGCGGCGGGGCAGCTGGGGACAACGTTCGGTTCCAGGGGGTTGTCTGTGCTCCTGCCACTCTCCCTCCTGCATTACTGGTGGGGCTGCTGCCTCTGGGCCCCGGGGAAATGAGGGGCAGGTGGCTGGAGCAGACGCGGAGCTGGGCCCCTTGGCGGATGGAAGGCGTTGCCAAGTGTGCGTTGGAAGCCTCAGGTCCCCTTCCTGCAGCGGGCAGATAATGCCGCGCACCTGCACAGAGATGCCGGTAGGGCCAGTAACTTTGATCTGGTGGCTCGAGAGCGTCCCATTGTCTTTGCTCACAATAGAAGCAGAGGGCGGGGAGGAGTCCCAGAGTAAAGCACGATGAGTTCTGCTGACTTTACTTTTTTATTTTATCCACGCCTCGTGTGGTCGTGCGGGGCCTGGGAGTGATATAGTGCGTCCACGTGCGGTTTGGTGATGTGTGCCCAGGACGCACCCCTAGCGGCTTCCCCGTGGCGGAGTTCAGCGAAGGGGCATCACGACTCAGGCCGTGCCCTGGCCCAGGGCAGCTACTAGCTTGCTTTGTGCCGCCGTGGCGTGGGCCTCTGTGGACTCCCGGGCACGTGGACTCCCGTGTCAGGGGTCCGGTGGCTTGTCCTCCCATTGCTCAGGAGTGGGCATCTCACAGTGTCTCGTCTGCCCTGATGGATGGTTGTGCGGTTGCCAGCTTTTGGCTGAGTGAAGGCACCACGGACCTTTGTGCAGACATTCTCACTCTCTCCGGGGCTTGGAGAGGCGTTTAACTCGCTCCGAAACTTCCAGACTGTTTCCAAAGTGGCTATCGCACTGGGTTTGCACAGCAGCGCGCGGGCTTGCGCACGCTCTGCGTTCCTTCCCCATGTGCCCCGTGGCCGTGCGGGCGGGCGTCATTGCAGCATGTCCTCTGCTGTGGTCGGCGCTCCCACCGGGCCGGGGGCCGGCCCGCACTGCTCGCGCCCAGTCCTGGTGTCTGGGTTCCGGGGCCATTGGGTAGCCGTGGTGCAAACCTTCTGTCAGGCTCTGCACTCTCTTGTCTTTTCTTGGTGGGGTCTTTTTGAAGCTTTTTGCATTTTGATGTTATCGGTGTTTTCTTTTGGTGTTTCTGCTCTTTGTATCCCTAATTGCCTACTAGAAAGTCCCAGGATTACTGTTTTTTGAAGTTTTTTTTTTAAGATTTTATTTATTTATTCGACAGAAAGAGAGGCAGCAAGAGAGGGAACGCAAGCAGAGGGAGAGGGAGAAGCAGGCTTCCCGCTGAGCAGGGAGCCCGATGCGGGGCTCGATCCCCGGACCCCGGGATCATGACCTGAGCCGAAGGCAGACGCTCAACGACTGAGCCACCCAGGCGCCCCTTGAAATTTTAAGATTTTATTTATTCATTGTTTTTTGAAGTTTTTTTTTTTCGAGAGAGAGCAGGAGCCGGGAAAGGGACAGGCAGAGGGAGAAGCAGACTCCCCTCAGAGCAGGGAGCCTCATGTGGGACTCGATTGGACACTGAGATCATGATCTGAGCTGAAGGCAGACTCTTAACTGATTGAGCTACCCAGGCGCCCCTGTTTTTTGAAGTTTTATAGTTTTAGCTTTTTTGTTTAAGTGTCTGATACAT